ATGGCCATTAGCTCCCCATGTCTTCCACCATTCAATTCAAGATTACAGTTGATTTGTATCTTACTGTCATCTTGGTTCCATAAGCCTCTACACCCTTACCTACAAAAATCCATCAATTTTAGGTGTACCAAACAAGTTTTTGTTTATTCATCCTGGAAGTTAATTGCAGGCATTTTCCTGATCAAAAAATTCTGCATATGCTTTATCACCAGGGAAGGGGCATGATGTTTAAGCAAAGAGCAGAAGTTGGCTATTAACGAGGTCAGTACCTGGGAACTAGTTCCAGTCAGTCAAGGAAAGACATTGTTTTCAAGCAGATGGCAAATGCTGAATTGTAATTTTGACCTTATGAACGAGATGATCAGTCTGTCAAGGAGTGCCTAGAGTTTGAAATGGGTTTTGGATTATGTTTTGTTAAAATGAATTTGCCTGTTGGTGTGACAGCATGATTCCTGCCTAACCTTCCACGAGTAGCTCTTGGAAGCTAACAGAATAGAAAAACAAGTTGCAAGTATTCCTGCCTCTATCTGAGAGAATTGTAAAGATAGCTCTGATCGACATATTCAGAGAATCAACCAATAAACCACCATCTATGCCTATGGAATAATGCATCATCAAAAATAAAAGTAATTGGAGGAGGGAAGCAAATGCACAGTAGCTAAATTTGCAGATGACACAGGAGTAGGTGAAAAGCCAGGTTGCGAGAGGGATACAAATAGCTCAAGAGATATCAATAAGTTAATTAAGTGGGCAAAACATTGGTAAATGGTGTATAATGTGGAAAAATGTAAATTTGATCATTTTGGAAGGAAGAACAAAAGGACAGAATAGGATTCAAATGGAGAAAAACTGCAACACATAGGAATTTGGGGTACTTGTGCACGCAACACAAAACTAGCACACAGGTGCAGCAGGTCATTAGGAAGCCTAGTGGAATATTGGCCCTTATTTCCAGGGCACTGGAGTACGAGTAGGGAAGTCTTACTGCAGCTGTACAAGGTGCTGGTGAGACCATATCTGGAGCATTGAGAGCAGTTTTGGTCCCCTTATTTAAGAGAAGATATTATTTCATTGGGGGCAGTTCAGAGACAGTTCACAAAGATGATCCCTGGAATGGAGGGATTGTCTTATGAGTCAAGATTAAACAGGTCGAGACTCTGCTGATTGAAAATTAGAAGAATGAGAGACAATCTCATTGAAATACATAGAGTTCTTAATGGGCTTGACAGGGTAAATATGAGGATGTAAAGAATCTGCAATAGATAGGGTGAGTGAATGGGCAAAAACCTACCAGATAGAAGTTAATGTAGGAAAGTGCTAGGTCATGAATTTTGGTAGAAAGAATCAAAAGGCAGACAATTATTTAAATGGAGAGTACCTCCAACAAAGTGCAGCACAAAGGGATCTGGGTTTTCTTGCACATGAAACAAGGTGGTAAATTAAGAAAAGTTCAGTTTGCCACAAACCCTTCTATTCCGTTCTGAGGAAGGGTCATGGACCCAAAACATTAACTCTGTTTTCTCCTTCACAGATGCTGCCAGACCTGCTGAGCTTTTCCAGCAACTTTGGTTTCTGTCCCTTCTATTGCTGGCACCGGCTTGATACAAGTCAGATGAGCTCAAACCTCAGAAAAGTGTGATAAAGGCCAGCATTTTCAATACTAAATTGCAAAGAAAATATTAGCACACTGTACTATGCACTCAATTATAGCATAAGAAGAGCACTTTTAAGAATTAGATATAAAATTCTTAAGAAAGATGAATGATTACATACAGGCATTGAAGAATACAGTTACTTCAACTTAATTTCAGTAAAATTTATTCTTATATTTTCTTCCAGTCATTAGACCAATAAAATCAACATGTCCTATAAGTCTCCTGATAACATTAACATGAATGCACCTTTTCACAGCAAGAAAAGTGACGTCTTTCAGAACGAATGCTGATGACAGGACCTTCACATGCTCTCTTTGGCACAACTCTACAGTTGGTATAAGGTAATCTTTCTTTGGTCATTTCTCCCAGCATGACCAGGGTCAGCAGCAGCAGCTCAACAGAAGCTGTCCAAGGCCAAAATCTCTCTCGGTTACTATCTTTACAGAACTGCCACAGTAATATCCTCTGTCACCATTCATGGGGAAAGCATATTAGCTCTAACACAATTGGTAATACAAATGATTTCCCATGACATTGTGAAAGTGCAAAAGATTTTTAGATAACTGCCCTTCTGTTAATTGCCATTCACTTTCTTATCCCTCTTTTAATCTTCCATCACCAAGTTGTGAAACACTGTTCAATATATCATTGTCCAAGTTTCAGGCTACCATCAATCCATTTCACTATCTACAAGACACAAGTGAGGTGTGTAATTGAATATTCTCCACTTGCTCAAGCGCAACTCCAACAACACTCAAGAAGCTCAACCTACTCAGAATGAAGCAGCACCCTTGATTGGCACCTTTGGGAGCATCGTCCAAAGAAGTGGCCTCTGTTACCTAGAAAGACCAGGGCAGATGTGTGGAAACACCATCACCTGCAAGTTTCCCTCCAAGTCACGTCATCCTGACTTAAAAAAAGTCATTACTTCATTGGGGCAAAATCCTGAATTACACTGACCAAAGAGATGTGAATGAATCAACACACGGGCTACAGTGGTTCAAGGCAGCTCACCACATTCTCAAGAGTGATTAAGAATAGTTAATAAATACTGGCCTCATCAGCAATAACTATATGCTACTATTTTAGCTTAACACCAGGCAACCTCTCCAGATCCTTTTGATAACTAAAACAGTCAGAGCTGAAATGTTAATTCTTGCTTCTCTCTCCACAAATACTGCCTGGCCTGCTAACTATTTCCAACATGTTTTGATTTTGTCTTTTTACTAACTAGTCTACCTGTTCTTTAATAATCAACAGTCCCTTCTAATGTGAGATATCAGCAACCCTTACCTCTGGCTTCGAAGCATTTAATTGCACATAGTAAACAACAGCCAAGAACCAGCCCTAAAACATTCCACTAGCCATCTCTTCATGTAGTTAGCACTCTGACAAACATTCTTTGGTTCAACTGATTAAGCCTCCATTTCAAAAGCCTCCCTGTTAATTGTATCCTTTCCTACAGCATTTCTTCTGTGATATGCAGTGTGATGAACTCAAAATGCACAAAATTCATTGAATTCTTGTTTTGTAACTCAATTATATCCTGAAAAATCAACATCGGCCAGCATAATATCCCAACTGTAAATATTCGCTGACAATGTCTCAAATTCCAAGTCTCTCACTACTTCATGATTTCTTATAAGATGACATTTAATATGCCCAAGGTTTGATGTTTTTCTTTCATCTGAGGTCCTTTGGGTTTTCTTATCCTATTCAAGGTACCTCTTGCTCTCCTGCATTTAGAGAATACTGCAGTTTGTGTGTCAAGATTACCAAATTATCTGAAAGGAAAGAATATGCAAGGTTTACAGGGAGATAAGGTAATGACAATAGCTAAATTGCTCATTTGGAGAGCCATGCGCACATTGACGAATTGGGCCTTATTCTAAGTTATAACCTATGATTCTCTGAAGAGACTGGTTTCTTTTGTCAGCTCCTTTGATATCCCTGTAATTTTCAAAGGTTGGGTCGCCTTGGCTGCTTTTAGTAAACCATCCAGGAATAGGCTTTGCAGCAGAGCTTTCAGAACATTATAGTTACTTCCAAAAATACCACATGACATACTGCAGAGATGCACACAAAGATTTGTTAGTTTTATTCACATCTATTTCAACAAATGTTAAAAATATTACAATTCAGACTACAACATTACATTAATAAACGAAGGTTGTATCAGGGCAGATGTCTGATGATGTAAATAAATAGCCCTTTTTGGGTTATTCAAATGAATTAGTGGGTAGACTCCAATCATATATTTGAGTTGAGGTTGTAGACATGCCCGCTGAGATGCGCACTGACAATGTTACCTAGCAGGGTGACGAAACATTTGCAACCAAACCCACCAGCTCGGCCAGCACGTCTACCTCATCCACAACCCGAGCTACAAATCTTCTCAAAATTTTTTGAGGTGAAGTAAATAAAAGTAAAATCATTAGTGTCAGTGAGAAAGCCAACTGTAAGGACAGTCAATGTCCTGCTGCTTGTATAATGCCTGCCATTAGGCTACAATTACTAAAATCATCAGCTTTCCAAATTATCAAGCTAAACAGTCACATAATCAAAACTATGAAAACATTCTGGTCAGACCAAGAGCAATCACTTGTCTCACTGTAAATTTTGTGTAAATAAAGACAGCATTTACATTGGATCTTTCAAACCACCAGGGCATTCCAAAGTATTTAGACCAAAGGACTTTTTGAAGTACACTAATGGTATAATATAAAAGGCACAGCAGCTAATTTGCATACAAGTTCCACAAATAACAGTTTGAATGATTGGAGGATCTGTATTCTGGGGTTTAAGGGACAGCCTTTGGCCAGGAGACAGCGCAGCATTTTCTTCAATACTGCAATGCAGTGTTAGACTAAATTCTGTGGTCAAGTCTCAGAATGAGGTTGACCCACGAGGACCTGAGTCAAGAGAAGAGTGCACTAATCATTGAGCCTACCCTACACCATCCATTAACACAAATGCAATGCTAGTGGTTTTCCCCAGCATCAGGTATTCAGCAGCAAGAAGCACTCAACTAAGTAGAAACATAGTAAGTCACTCACATAAGGAATGAAGATTTTCATCGTGTGGCTTTGTTTTAACAAAATGTGCTATAAACAGAATGCCATTTTTTCTTCACCAGTATCCCAATGTGCTAATGTGCCCACACAACCACCTGATTTACAAGCATTCTTTTGTCTCATCCATGCATTCACACACTTTTACCAAGGCATAAACATAACTTTTGCTGTGCGATCCTCCTCATCTCTGAAGTACATTATGTGCTTTACTATGGTAGAGGTGTCAACTAAATATCAACAGTAGCTGTAAATGACAGAGTCCCTTGCTCACCTTTCTCAAGGTACTCTTCCAGGCCTCTCCGCCTGGCATCCAACTGCTGTTCCGAGAGTGAAAATGGCCACTTCCGTGGGAGTTTTGGGAAATGGAAGTCAGAAAATTCCCTCTTCAGATTCTGGTGAAGTATTGTGAACTCTCGGAAGCGCCGTGAGCAGAGCTGGCGTCCAGCCATGTAAATATTGAACACCTAAAACAAAATCAGGTGACAGATCAAAAAGACAAAAATTTTCAATACTATTTCATATTTTCATCTAGATTAATTTAAATATGACTCAGAGGGCAGTACTGCACTCAAGCACATAATCCACGCTGACACTCCAGTGAAAACCAGTTGGAGGTACGGTCACAAGAATACGACATTAAACCAAGGTCACATTTGTTCTTTTTTCAGTAACAGTTTGAAATGCAGGAGAGAATCTCTCATCCAGTTTATTCTTTGAGCATTATTAAAATAAATTGATTGTCTAGTTCCATGCATCATTGTAAAGTCCTACAAAAATAATGTGTTAATTGACCATTTTCCTACAACACTGATTGTACTTCAGCACCTTGGAACATTCTGAAATCACCTTTTAAGGGACTGATATAATTGAGGCTTTCCACAGGGAAGTGGACATGATGGGTCAAATAGCCTCCTACAATGCACTAACCATTCTGGTTCCTTTCTTAATTAGAAGGAAATTCAGTTAACCCAGCACCTTCCAAACACTAATCCTAACCCAACCACTACCAACAAGGACAAGGCAGCAGATATATGGGAACACCACCACCAAACATTCCCCTCCAACCCACTCACCATTCTGACTTGGAAATATATCACTGTTCCTTCAGTGTCACTGGGTCAAAATACTGGCACTGTTCCCATACTTACACCACATGGATGGCACCAATTCAAAGCAGCAGCTCATCACTGCCTAATCAAAGTCAGTTAGAGCTGAGCAATAAATGCTGGCCTAACTAATGACCCTTATATGCCTTGAAGGCATAAAGTGTTCTTCTAACTCTTGCATGCTTCCAGAGTCAGTGAAATTATCAGTTCCCCATTAAAATCCCAGACTTTTGAAAGGCTCCTAAAAACCCTCATCTTTCTGCTTCCAGTTTTCTTTGCACTTTGAGAAGTGATCTTATATATATTACTGAAAGGATCTATGACAGCATAACAGAATTACAGGTGCATTGGCAAAATGTTCAACAGCCACCAGATAGCTGAGCACTGGAAAAAAAAGACACTCAGAAATTGGTTGAGAATATTTGCAAAGTCCCAGGTTAACAATTGGTGCTGTGACCTCAAAGTTCATTACAGTGAGTTGCAAACTGAATAAAATAAACCACAAGACCAGAATAAAATGACTGTATAAGTTGCTGGGATGTCATACAACAGTGGGAACATGCTACACACTAAACAGATGTTGTGTGGCCAATTTGCTCGCAACAATGACTATACGTCACAAAGCACTTTACTGGCAGCAACACATGTTTGGACTATCCTGAGACTGTAAAACTAGTTATGCAACTGCAAGTTGCCCTTCCTTATGACTTGCTAACCAACATCCAACGGTCAGGTGCACACTTTATTCCAGTTCACATCTCTTAGGTGTTCTTTAGGCAAAAAGGGAGGGTTGTAAATGTAACCTTGTCAGCATGGTCTAAAACCAATAACAAAAAGAAAGGTTGAGCCAAAGCTTAAAGATAAATCATAGGATTTTTGAACCAGTCAAGTCACATTTGCTAACAGTGTCAAGTTCACTTACTGTGCTTAACATACAATGGAGCAAGACGAAATTTGTACAACCATTGTTGGGTTTTTTTTTTTTAAAAAGTCATGGCAAACCACAAGAAATAACTAATTATTCACCACAAATTTCTCCCCATTCCGTTCAACGTGTTTGTAGCCAGGGATAGAGATTGGCACTGCCCGCTTCTCACTGTAGTCGTAGTAGATGTTCCCAGATGAATCATCACCAGGATCAAGCCGATCAGCTTCTTGTTGTGGAACAGACAGCACCGTCAGAATCAGCTCCCGATCTCCCGCCCGAATCAGGTCCACAACTTGTTTATGTGTTGCTCCCTCAACATTAACGCCATTTCTACAGAAGCAATGAATAGCATAATGAGAAATTTATAACAGATTGAGGTACTGTGATACATTGTGGGTTTACTGACAACTAAGCGGTCTAGGTTCAGGCAACAGTCAAAATTTCAATACACACAATAGTGTAATTTGGAGGGGTATAGTCAAGTAGGGATTAAACCTAGGTCCATTTCAATATTTGCTAGATATCCTCTTTGCATTCAATGAGCTGGAGAATTCACAGTACTTTCCTAAACTGGCATTTAAAAACTGAACAATTTGTCGCTCATGGATTCTACTATGCTGAGCTCACAGTTGCACTGACCATTCAAAAGTAATTAAAAAGCTCTGAGACAATGTGTAATGTTTTATATAGAGATCTTCTCTTTTCCTTTTATTAAATGTGAAATACGTGCAAGTTTGATCCATCAATTTGCACAAGCCTAGGAAACCTCAGGTGCTTTAAATCCAGTCAGTTACTGCTTTAGGAAACATCATTTTCTTTTATTATTCATTCACAGGATTCCCCAACTATCAACATGCTGGGGGTTACCATCGGTCAGAAACTCAACTGGACTCACCATATAAATATAGCAGGTCAGAAGCTAGGAATACTACAGCAAGCAACTCATCTCCTGACTCCCCAAAGCCTGTCTAACATCAACAAGGCACAGCTCAGGAGTGTGGAGGAACACTCCCCACTTGCCTGGACAGGTGCAGCTCCAACAACACTCAAGGAGCCTGACATCATGCTGGACAAAGCAGTCGACTTCACTTCACATCCACAAACATCCACTCCCTCCACCACCAATGCTCAGTAGCAGCAGTCTATACCATTAAGACACACTGCAGAAATTCACCAAGGATCCTGAAACTACACCTTCCAACCCTGCTGACAGCAGATACTTGGGAACACCATCATCTACAAGTTCCCCTCCAAGCCATTCATCATCCTGACTTGGAAATATATCATTGTTCAGTCAAAATCTTGGGATTCCCTAAGGGCAATATGGTCTACCAAAAGTATATAAACTGCAGTGGTTCACAAAGACAACTCAACACCTCCTCAAGGGCACCTAGGGACTTTTCCACAAGTCAATTAAAGAAGGCTAGACCAGGTAAGGACATCAGTGAACCAGATGGCTTTTTCTGACGATTGACAATGGTTTCATGATCAGCATTAGACCCCTAATGATAGAGTTCAAATTCTACCATCTGTCATTGTGGGATTTGAACCTGGGTCTACAGAACTGGGTTTCTGGCTTAACAGTCTGGGGATAATACTACTGGGCTATCATCTCCCCCTGTTTCAAGTCCAGTTGGATTTTGTTTTAGTATAGAAAGATTCTGGTTGGCCCTATCAGCTTAATGATACTTTCCTCAATTAATCTAGTGTCCAAATGGCCACTTGCTGATGATTAGATAAGTAAATAATTATAGGGCCCAGTTACATTTTAGTCAGCATGTAACACAAGATAAAGAGCAATTCCAGTCTGCATGATCAAATACAGCAATCAAACCCAGACCAGTCAGCAAACACTTGTGTGCCAGCTAAATATTATGGATAGTCACCAAAAATTACAAAACTACTCAATAGATCACATCAAGTTGCCATTTACAGGTTTTACAGATATGTCAAACCTCTGGAAAATACATGTCCTGTAATTGGAATGGTTTAAATAGAGGTTTGAGAATTTGCAGGCCCAGTATCCTATGATGGGCAAACTCCTGCTTTAAATTAGCAGCTTTAGCATCCAAGCAGATAGTAGAAATACTTCAATCTTCTAGAAAATACTTCAGCAAATCACCTCATTGTCAGGTATTTTGAATACTACTCAATACTTGAGCAGACTAGTTACCATGGGACACATGTAGTCGGGTTGTGAGATTCACCTTGCAGTGAACTGCAAACTATCAAAATTTTTAAATCCAAAATTGCAAAGATCTGGATTATTCTATTCTCCTCAAACCCCCCAATAGTTACTAGATCTGCAAAAAAGCAGAACTGTTTCAAAAGCCAAAATTGCTCAGAAAACTCAGCAAGCCTAGCAACATCTGTGGAGAGAAATCAGAGATAACATTTCTCTCCACAGATGCTGCCAGACCTGCTGAGCTTTTTCAGCAATTTGTTTTTGTTTTTGTTTTTGATTTACAACATCCACAGTTCTTCTGGTTTTTGTTTAAGCAGAACTGTTTGTTTAAACTTGAAACAGAAATCAGCGATCTCCACTTACTTTAGCTTAATCATTATTACAGTCAACCTCACTTTTAAAATAAATCTTATAGCACCAGTCTACTTCAGTTCTTTGTTTTTAAATTCTTCTCCAATGCCGCCAATCAAGCACAGTACACCCCTCAGCAAGAAACGAGGGCATCCATTGCGACTGCTGCCCAATTAACAATTAACAGGAAGGGCAAATGAAGATGAACTTTGCCATCAGATTCTTCCTTTGTCCTCTTGCCCTGCCTCAAGAGGAAAATGCTTAAAAGCTGAAGCCACGTGTATAAACTCATGATTCCAGTTTTAGTCTTTCATTTGAGACAGAGTTGGAATGCCAAAGTGACAGGCTGCAGTGACCCAGGGAACTAACTCATTGCGGTCAGGTTAAGACTCAAGTGGATCAAAAAGCACGTGGGCACTTATGAGGCTGCGAAGCAAGGCTATTCCCAGTTCCTTTGAGCTCTGTGGCTACAGTCTGTTGTGGTGAAACTCTTGCGCAACTTCCTGCTGTGGCCTAAACTGCTGGCAGCCATTAACAGCTAACGCTACGCCAGATCATTGAAGTGATTTGAAGAGGTTTATGGGATTAGGATCCAGGCCAGACATACACACAATGAAGATTGTCAAATCGTAATTTCCAGTGCATTAATTTGCAAGCACAGGATTATAGATTCCCAGCATTTCACAACAATTGGTTAAAAAAATACCAGATGACTTTTTTAACTCAGACTATTACAGTACTGGAACAGGTCACATGGCCTAATCCTTCTATGATGACATTACGTTCCATCCAAGCCTCCTTTCATCTGACTTTCTTTCAGCTCCACTAATACATTTGCTCTGAAGTAAGGCTTTACAAACTATGGGTTGCAACTTCTAACTGGGTCATGAAACAAGATTTTGCAGTTGCAAGCTGCAAAACAGCAATGGCTGCTGTGGACCTTGGACTGATTCCTGACAGCTGCATGGGCTGTTTTTATGCAGCTCTTTGCTACAGGAGGGAGTGACCTAATCAATTGCTCAATGAAGCCAAATTCCTGCCGTGAGAGCACTTGTGTGATATGGTAGGTGTTCAATTGGCCCATCTTTTCATCTACTACAGATGAGGAAAATGGGAGGGGTGTGTGGTCAAGAAGGATGGAGATTGGAGACACACAGCTCCTTTCATTCCAGCTGCTACAACTGAAGCCATCCATTCTGCTCCATTCAACAACTTGAAGGTTTCTCTCCTCCCTTGCTCTTGGAACTCCCAAAATTTTAACCAAGGATCGTACAAAAACTGAGGCACAAAAATGGGATCACACCAGCAAAATGATTTGGTGGCACAGCTCTACGGTTTATTTTACCCTTCAAGGTATCATACATTAATCATATCAAGCACTCAACAGGGTAGGCAGAGGTGTAAATTGTAACTACTGAATCAAGAAATTTCTCGATTTATCGATGACCAGCAGATTAATGATCGCCAGTTCTAGACTTGCTGCAAGATTATACAAAAGAGGTAGACAACTCCAACAATGTCTCCACTTTTGATTATAAATGCTTCTCAAGCTGAAGGTTCAAGCTTTGGGTCTGAAATCTAACCTCTCTGGAGTACTGTGTCCAGGTTCTGGTTGCCTGTTATAGGAGGGATATGGTGAAGATGGAAAGGGTTCAGAAGAGATTTACCAGGATGTTGCTGGGAATGGAGGGTTTCAGTTCTGGGCTGGACAGGCTAGGACTTCTTTTACTGGATTATAGGAGATTGAGGGGTGACATTATTGAAATTTCTAAAACCATGAAGGGTATAGATAATGTGAATGACAAGTGTCTTTTCCCCAGTGTGGGGGATTTCAAGAGTAGGGGGCACATTAAGGTAAAAGGAGAAAGATTTTAAAAAGAAACGAGGGGCAATTTTTTTTAAAATAGAGTGGTGTGTGTGTGGAATGAACTTCCAGAGGAAATGGTGGATGCAACTACAGCTACAGCGTTTAAAAAACATTTAGGTAAGTACATGAATAAGAAACGTTTGGAGGGATATGTACCAAGCACAGGCAGATGGGATGATCTTAGTTTGGGATTATGGTTGGCATGGACTGGTTGTTTCCGTGCTGTATGACTCCATGACTCCTTTCTTCTAGAATCAACTTGGTGGTGGTGGTGGGGGTGGCTACATCAAGTCAAAAATTAAATCAAAAATACTTCTTTACTTTAGCAAGTCGACTTCTTCAGCATTGGCAGCTTCATTGAAGAAATCTGAGCTTCAAAATTTCCCGTCCCCCTACCGCATCCCAAAACCAGCCCAAGTTGTCCCCGCCTCCCTAACCTGTCCTTCCTCCCACCTATCGCCTCCTCCCACCTCAAGTCCCATCCCCATCTCCTACCTACTAACCTCATCCCGCCCCCTTGACCTGTCCATCCTCCCTGGACTGACCTATCCCCTCCCAAACTCCCCACCTACACTCACCTTTACTGGCTCCATCCCCGCCTCTTTGACCTGTCTGTCTCCTCTCCACCTATCTTTTCCTCTATCCATCTTCTATCCGCCTCCTCCTCTCTCCCTATTTATTTCAGAAACCCCTTCCCCTCCCCCATTTCTGAAGAAGGGTCTAGGCCTGAAACGTCAGCTTTCCTGCTCCTCTGATGCTGCTTGGCCTGCTGTGTTCATCCAGCTCTACACCTTGTTATCTCAGATTCTCCAGCATCTGCAGTTCCTACTATCTCTCTAGCCAAATTTAAACTACTCAAGAGTTTACAGAAGATAAAAGAGTCCCACCTTACAGGAGATCTGACCCAAGAATTGTCTGCTTGAGGTT